GTTATTATTTTGTATTTTAATGCTCAGGGAATAAAAAACATGTCTGCTAATTATCTAAGATTAAAGCCATGACACCTAATGAAGAATTAGTTACATTAGTTTGCTGCTCAAAAAGTAGAAAAGGTTTTAAATAAACCCATACTTTTGGAAGCTATCTGAACATTCAAGTCATATACTTAGCAAGCCAAAAAGTCCATTTAATTAATCAGGCTTCTAGATAATCATCCAAAATGCGTATTGAAATGAAGCCACTGTTCTTTATAGTACCGAGTGACTTTCACTAAATAACAAATAAGCAGTAGCTTTTGGAGAACATCTTTTTAAAAAGCCATTCTGTATATACTGGAGCAAATGGAGCACTTGACTCTGCTAAAGGAGATGGGGTTGAGTAATCCAGTACTCGACCCAGTTGGAAGTCTCTGCTTTTGCGATGGACATGAAGATAAAATAGCAGGGAAGCAAATTGACAAACTTGCTTTCTTTTTAACAGAATTCCCTAACTGCAGTTAATGGCAAAATATCTTGGTATCAGTTAACGAGAGCAGCACAGTGTCGAGAGCCACACTGTGCTGAGAGGTAGATTGGGACTTCATCCTGGGATCTGCTACTAAACTAACATCACTTAGACTTAAGATCCCTATTTTAGGCTTAATCAAAATTGCTGAAGTGAATCTTTGGGTTCTTCTGTCTTTAATAGAGAGAAAATAGCTCAAGAAAATCAACATCTGCCTCATGCTAATATCGAGTGTGGGACCTAAACATGCACAGAATTACACGTCAAGAAACCCAGAGGCTGAAGAACCCAGCACACACAAAGATGAGTAGTCTCTAATACCCCACTAGTGGCCCCTACAGGGAGAGGCGTCTATCAAGATCAATAAATGTCTAAGATCATCCCAGCCGAGCTTTGGTTAGGCGGCCACCGGATGGATGGCACGTCAGGGCCCACTAAATTCCACAGTTAGCAAAAAAAAAGTATACAGAAGGGTTTTCTTTTGTTATGCAGAGTGAATGAACTCTCTGAACAAGTTACAAGCTGGGAAACAGCTCTAAATCCCAACCTTAAAAAAAACGTCTATTCTGACAGTGTTGCTTCATCTTGCAGTATAAATATGAGCAATACATTCCCAACTGCAGAAGCCAACAAAAAAAGAAAATCCTTGTTAAAATGTAGTGGTTCTAACAGTAATGGAGAAACAGGCAGAGTTTTCTGTTGAGTGCATTTTTGTCTTTAAAAACATTACTTTTGCAGTTATAAGGGTAGAACTCAGAACTCACATATACATGCACTATCACGGGAATATACCCTAGACCCCCCTTTTTTAGTAAAAAGAATTGCAGACTTAGATACTTCTCTTAAGAAGGTGAAAAAACTCATTATGAACCAAATTTTATGTTTGTCCAAGATGAATTCATTAAGTTTTAAGCTTTTATTTGGGGAAGCAAGTTAAATTCTCTATCAGCTTTGATTTTGCAAGTAACATCAAAGTAGCAAAATACAACTAACTGCAACGTACAAAATTATACTTCAGTAGAAATGCTTTCAAAATTGGATCCAGATGCTTAAAATTATTTACTTTAAAGAGACATAGTGTGAAGTGTAGCTTTTGTTTCAATTACATCTTAACAAATGGAGAAGAAAATGAAGAGGGAAGACTGGTCCTAACATTTTTTTAAGTACTACTCATGCTCAAGCCAGCTTGCAATTCACTGAAATCAGTCCATGAATCAATCTGTCACACACCTTTTAGCCAATGGAAGCACTGGACTGATTTGATTATACAGACTGATAGCCAGTACGACTTTTCCTTCTTCCAATCATGTAAGATATAAACACAGCAATTATAAGGAAGCCCAAGGCCACACCCACTGCAACAGGAATAAGAAAGCTGAGGTCAGAGTCAGCAGCACATTCTTCAGCTGTTAGAAAAGAACAGACAGACAGCAAAGAAAGGAAATTAGTAAAGAATGCAATGAGATAGGAAGAAGCAAACAAGACACATTTGGAGAGTGTAGACACATGCTAATCTTTTTAGAACACAACTCTTATTCCCTCAATATCCACCCAAACAGTCCACGGCCACAGATCACTGTTTAACATTTCTTGTAAAATGACCAAATTTCTCAGCATAAAAGGGGAAAATGGGGAAGGGTTCAAATTCAGAATTAAGCTTATACAATATAGTTATGATTTTGGAGTTGCCACATGGCAATAGGGACTGCCTCCGAATCTCATTTCCTTTCTCCCTTGCTACATCTACAGTGACCTAGCTCAGTGCTAGAGTGCTCGCCTAGCATGCCTAAGGCTCTTGGGTTCTGTACAAGTAAAAGGCAGGATCAAGATAATGTCCTCTAGCTCTTTTTTTTTTTTTGGCTTTTTGAGACAGTGTTTCTCTGTGTAGCTTTGGAGCCTGTCCTGGCACTAGCTCTGTAGACCAGGCTGGTCTCGAACTCACAGAGATCTGCCTGCCTCTCTCTACCTCCCGAGTGCTGGGATTAAAGGCGTGTGCCACCAACGCCCGGCTGCTCTGGCTCTTTTAAAGCTTCATTTGTTTGTATTTTATGAATGTGGGTGTTTTGCATATATGTCTGTATACCACATTCATTCAGGGCCCTGGAGTTACAGGTGGGTAATAGCTGGTATGTGGGTGCTAGGAACCAAACCCAGATCCTCTGCAAGACCAACAGATATTCTTAAGAATCTCTCCAGTATCTTTTTGGGGGGGTAGTCTGAGGGGGTTTCGAGACAGGGTTTCTCTGGAACTCACCCTGTAGACCAGGCTGGTCTGAACTCACAAGAGATCTGCCTGCCTCTGCCTCCCAAGTGCTGGGATCAAAGGCCAGTACCACCACTGCTTGGCTTAGTATTTTTTTTAATATAGGCATTCGTTAGTTCACAGGCTTCATGTAATTCTTTCCAGCTAACTGATGGCCTTGCTGAAGAATAATCTAAGGCATGCAAGTCAACCCCATGGAATCAGACTCTGCAGTATTAACTTCAGGAAGACTTTGTCATGTTACTTAAGCTGGGCCTCGCTTCCTTCAACTAGTAAAAGGGAATACTGACAGCTACATTATAAGGGAGTTCAGGAGTCAATATATTTTTAAAGTATCTGACCCACAGCAAGTGATCCACAATTACTCATTCCCTTCTCTTTCCTTCCTGTATTTATGATTCAGATGCTTGGGTTTTGACAGCACAGAAATTTTAACATGTGTGTCTTAGTACAGGACTGAGAAGGAAGACCTATATTCATTAATTCAAAATGACTGAAGCAAAACAAAGGACAACTCAAAGTGCCTACCTCAGGTCTCAAAAGTTCAAGTTTAAATCAGTCATCAGGTTACTATTGAACAATTGCATTTTATTCAGATTTTAATCCAAATACTAACAGGTTCCTTGCTACCAGAAGTCATGTCCCTTTCCAGACAATTCTGGACTTAAGAGTAAACAATCTGTAAGGTCTTTTCAGTACAAGGTTAAAGCAATGAATACATTTTAATGTTTCATGTGATCTCTGATCGTCAACAGCCTGCCTATATCCTTTGAGACTTCCTCTTCTTACACTTTTGTCATTCACAGAAACACTGCTGTGGCTCTGAAAACATAATGTGAATTTCAGTAACTACAATTAGCCTTTTTTTTTGGAGGGCTACTGTTTTACTGAAAGCTCCCTAGCAGACACTGACAGCTGGGTACCTAAACACATTTGTACTGTTAATTAGTACGTGACAGAAACTCTGCACAAGCCAATATACACATTAGAATGAATTAATGATCTTTTCAGTATGAACATGGCCTCATCTGTTAAATCTTTGGATTTATTTATATATTCCGCCAGCGCCTCACTTCTACCATGAAAATGTTCCAATCTGGACTAGCTGTCTAGCTAACGTTAATGCCAACAGGCCCCTTTGACACCCCTCTCAGCACTGTGCCCCACAGCGGCTGTCTTGGAGACGAAAGAGCATGGCTGCCGTGCTTTGTTGCCTCCCTTCTGAGATTGCTGTTAGCTTACATTTCATAAGTAACAGTCGGATGACAACACTAAATAGATTTTAATGCTCCAGAGATCAACAAGACGAGGTAGAGAAACACAACACAATCTGTCCTAATTATTTCATAGAATCTTCTATCTTTCAGTGTTAATCAGGCATCCAACGAGGAGGAAAACAAAGCAAGTGGTTAAATGTTTGAATCTTTTCAGTCTATAGTGCTGAAAAAGAAATATATTCTTTAAAAGCCCAGGCTGGCCTGTGATCTCCGCATTTGGCAAGCCAACACAAGTAGATCTCTGGGAGTTTGAAGCCAGCCTGGACTCCATAGCAAGTACCAGAGCAGCCAAGGCTACAGAAACTCTTGACTCATAAGACAACAACCCCACCCCCACCCCTGAGCCAAAAAAGCCTCTAAGAAGCCAGATTTGAGTTCTGTTTTAGCCTCCTGAGTCTGTTTTTAAGGGGAAAAAAATCACAAGCTTGAGAATCTAATTTCATATTTAACTTGAACTCAAAGGCAACAGTGAAAGTCATAACAGTAGAAAAATGTAAAGCTCTGGTTTCTCTTCAGGTCTTATAAAAATGTGGATGGCTGAGGACTATGTGTACTTCAGACCCCTGAAAAGCAAGTCTAAGCATAAGTGATAGGCATTTTAAGCCTTGAACTATCTGCAAAGGCATAGCAGTGATGAGCTGAAATCAGGACAGCTGTCACACAGAGAAACAGAACACCAGTGGTGAAGCAGTATTTATTAATTCCAGGAAGATACAACTCCATATATCTTTTTATAATGGTCATATTAATAAGTTTAAGGCATCTCAGGTTAGGATCCCAATTTGGCCAAAGCTTCTTAAGACAGACCTTAATACACTGCACATACTGTCTTTTTTTTTTAAAGCCAGTATGCATTTTAAGCTGATCAAAGAAGAACAGTTTTTATGAAAAATAAAACACTGATATCAAAATGCTGGGGCTGATTTAGGAATGAAAGTTCCAAGGTGTGTGTTTTAAGGAGCACTGACAGGCAAGAAAACCTCGTTCTTTGAATGTATTTTATAATATAATCAATTGGATTGCAGGTCCTAAAACTGCTCATATCCAGTATGATGGCGCTTGAGGCCAATAAAATAAGCCAGCAACACTAGAGCAAGTACTCCTGCCAGAGCTGCTCCCACCGCTATGGGCACAAGGAAGTTGTCTTCATCTGCACTGCAGTCTTGAGCTGGATGTGGAGAAAGGACAATTGAGAACAGAAACAATGACACTGCAAATGTCTCCATTTGAAGTTAAAATACAGCACTTCCCAACATACATATTTGTACATCAAAACAGCAAAGTCATTTTGGCATTCATTATCAGTAAAGGAGATGTCTGCAAAAAGTGATCCCTTAAAAAAAAAAAACAGACAAAAACAAAACAGCACTTTTATGCAGTCACCCCTCCTTAAAAAGCAGTCATTGGAGGGAAATATATATATTGATATATTGATATATATGTATATTGATATATTGATAAACATACTCCCAGGCTTCTTACAGAAAGTGATAATGAATAAATATAATTTGATTTCCCTTGATCAGCCTAGAGCTTTCAGAGCTAACTACTATGTTGAATGCTGAATGGTATGTGGCACTAAGTCATGAAATGAATAGCAGCTATTTCAGCTGACACGAGGGCACAACACACAGCATGTGCACTCACTTGGTAATGAGGAAAGATAATCTGGCCCTACTGATGTAACTGTTGGCTTCCTGATGTGTATGTAGGGTAGGGAAAGGGGAACACTTATTCACTACTGGTAGGAATCTAAATTTGGTTTAGCCATCATGGAAATCAGCATCAAGTTACCACAGGGGATGGAAGGGAGGTAATCATGAATCTGGAAAAGGGACTGGCCAGGAACGGGGGCACATTGATAAGGGAGGGAGGGAGAAAAAGGATGCTGGAGAGAGTCATCAGAATACAATGTACAGATACATCAAATTGTCAAAGAAACAAAATTAATCTGAAAAATTAGCAAGAAATACCATATATACAGTGATCCAGGAATTCTATTACTGGTTATGTATCCACAGATAATTAATTCAGCATATCAAAACAAAACATCTCCGTATGATCTAGCTATACCACCCCTCAGTATACATGCAAAAAATAAATCAACATGTCACAGAAATAAATACCTGATCGTTCACAGCACCATTCACAGGACGGTCAAGACCTAACTTAGACATCCAACAAGTGAACAGATAAGGAAAGTGTACTATATATACAAAATGGAGGTTTATGTAGCAATAAAAATGAAGTGCTTCCATTTAAAGGAAAACGGATGGATCTAAAAATAGCATGTTAAGCAAAATAAGCCAGGCTCACACAAAGCCCACTTATTTATATGAAGATTGTAAATGTGTGCATGAATACAAAGGAGACCATGAAGGGTAGAAGAGCTTCTGAAGAGGCAGAAGAGGATATAGATGTCTGGTACATAACGCCATAGAGATGACATGAAAGCAGAAGGGGAGGCTATCTGTCAAGAAGGGATAAGCAAGAGGGGAGCAGGAGGGACAGGGAGGGCACTGGGGACGGGTAAAATGAGAACAAAATAAAACAGAATATATGTATGAAATGCTATCATAACCAGCCGGGTCTACAGAGCTACTTCCAGGACAGCCAGGACTGTTACAGAGAAACCGTCCTGAAAAACAAAACCAAATGCTATAATAAAACACTGTATGCTAAATTAGAAAATATGTGTAGTCTAGTGTGAGAGTGAAACAAAGAAATCAGTGGTTAGAAATGCAAGATATGCTATGGTAGGGCAAGCAAAACGCAAAATATCATGGAAGTAGTTCAGGGACCCAGTCAACTCAGCTTTGTTAGCTAAGACACCTTGGAAAGGTGACAGCTGAGCCAAGTTTTAAGACAATGCAGGTAGTGGGAGGCAGGTGTAAGAAATGGTGCAGACAAAGCGTGGGGGGTAAGAAAACATGAAACTCCAGGGAGCAATGCAATGAGGGTGACATAGAACAGTGGATGGGTTGGATGGAAGCCAGAAAGAAGGGATGGAAGATCAGCTCACAAAGTACTCTGTGGTTCTGCCTTCTCCCAATGGAAACAAGCAGCAACAGAAATTCTAGCAGAGTTAACTGTTTCAGAACTGCAGATTGCAGGTAGTAAGCTAGGAGCCACCTCAATTGCTAGCATCCAAGTGACCAACATAGTTTTCCTGAACTGGGTTAATGAAGTGTAGATGCAAAATGGAGAGACCACAGATCCATTTAGAAGGCAAACTTGACAAAAATGGATGTAAAAACTTGGCAAAAATGGCTGCAATAGCAGGATGTTTTCCAATTCTACACTTGAGTGGTTACGGAAATGCTGGTGCTGTCAATCATGATAGTAATCCAAAAGAAAGAAATGTGAATTTATTGTAGTCTTGCTGCACTTGTAGTTATTGAGGATGAGTGGAATAGAGTGAAAGAGGGTAAGTAGAAGAGGAAGATACTCACTTTTCGATTGAATTATAGATGTCTGTGTCCCCAAATATACCATTCCTGAGTACATACCTAAAGGGGTCTATCCTACCTGCTGCACTGCACATAGTAGTAAACAAATACATGGTAGGAACCGGCCTACATGTCTACAAAAAAGTGACTAAAGAAAGTGTGGTACATATACACAATGGAAATGAAATCATTCCACTTGAAGGAAATTTGATGGACTAAAATGAGCATCTTAAGCAAAATAAGCTAGACTCAAAGACAAATGCCACATGATTCCTCTCACACTCGGAGACTGTATTTTAATTTGTATATACAGTCATGAAACACGACCATAGGAGGAGTAAGCTAGTTTTAAGGAAGGAAGACTGTGATTCAATATATGTGGCACGAAAGCAAGAGAGGGAGGGAAGGGGAAAGAGCATCACTAAGAATGGGTGTGTAGAAAAATAGACTGATAGCTGGGAAACCAGCACGGGACATGATCCAGACCCCAGGAACGTGGGTGTCAGTGAGGAGACCTTGGAAATCTACGGGACCTCCTGGAGTAGTTCAGTCCTTATCCCTAGCATAGGTGTGGACTTTGGGAACCCAATCCACATCCAGGGATACTCCCTGAGCCAAGACACATGGAGGTGAGCCTAGGCCCTATCCCAAAGTATATGATAGACTCTGAAGGCCCCCTATGGAAGGCCTCAGCCTCCCTGGGGAGCAGAAAGGATATGTGATAGGTAGAGTTTTACTTGGGGGTTGGTAGGGTCAGGGGAGGAGAGGTGGGAGAGGGAACTGGGATTGTCATGTAAAACAATCTTGTTTCTAATTCAAATAAAAAAAATCTGCAAAAAAAAAGAAAAGAAAAAAGAAAACCTGTACCCAGTGTAGTTTCCTTAAACACTAACAAAACAAAATACCTGGGTCCCAACCAAAATGTCTATAAATTGGGACAAGTAAAATGAAAAGGGTCCATAGAGAAAACACCAGGAATACTAATTTTTTGAGATGTAGGAAAGGCAGGTAGAAGATGGTATGGCAGATTAGGAAGGGGAGAGCTCCAATTAGCATGAGAGAAGAGTTTAATACATTAGAATTCTGAAACAATGTACATTGGATCTAGCCATGTGCTGGATGAGGTATGAGTCAAACTGCCGCAAAGACGGGTGAGTGGCAAGTGAATAGCTAGTGATCAGTCACAGCATCAAGGACTAAGGAGAAAAAGTCATTTCTATAAATTTAAGATCCAGAAAAAGAAAACATGGATGTACTTACAATAGGGACATAAAGAAAAGGTGACATTTGGAATAAAGAAATACGTTTGTAAGATGAGATAAAGGGGGAAGGAAAATGTTCATAAAAAGAGTGAGGCTAATGTTTCTCCCCTGGTTCCTCATGGACAAAGTGGAGCTTGCTGGAATGTGTGTTCTGTGTGTTATCTTAGCAGATTAAAGAGCAGATATGGAGTAACAGCTTCCCTTTATGAAAACATGGGGGTTTTTAGAACTTGGTGTCTCTAATTACCATCTTCAGTTTGAAGAAATTGTTACATTTAAGGAAAACAACAAGTAAATTTTTTAAAAGAGCAAATCTAATGACATATTGAAGATGTTCAATGGAGGGTTTCCTAGGACATATGAGGAATGAGATTCTAGAAGTACAGATCGTAAAAGAGAAAAACCTACTGTGACTGCAGAGATAGATGGATAGAAAAGACATTTGCAAAGATTCACAAAGAGGATCAGGATGCTAAAATACCACTTATCTGTATTCCCCACTCCCTTGTCTCGTGTTGCCTGCAGTTTTCCTCCAGGGACTGGACTCTACCAGAGGTAGATAAATCACAAAGTTAAATAAGTTTACTGGGATTGTGTCAAAATAAGAATGAACGGCATTGGAGTTAAGAGCACTAACTGTTCTTCCAGAGGACCTGGGTTTCATTTGCAGCATCCACATGGAAGTTCACAACCGTCTGTAACTCCTATTCCAGGGAATCTGGTGCCCTCTTCTTCATTCCACATTGAAAGGGCACACAAGTGGTACACAGACATGTAGGCAAAACATTCATATACATAAGACAAAAAAGAATGAATAGGCTGAAATGAAGTTCTGACCATGACTTGCAATCACAAAATATGCCAAGCTCTTTTCTGACAGCCAGCCTCTAGGGCAATAACTGGAAATGAGATACAACCCTGGAGTTTATAGACAGTCTGACATTGATTCTGGTTGCCAACTTGATGGTCATTCTAAACTGGGTTCTGTTAAGAATCCACACAGTAAACAATGCTGGATTAGACTTGTGAAGAGATGCTACTAAAGTTCCCAGTTAGCTCAGCCCCTTCAATTTCCCAAATTACTGCCCATCCTATAAAATATGAGGTGGCACAGACCATACAGTATTATGCCTTAGATTTAATACCTCTGGATTTTAAAAAATTCATTAGTAGATTAATTTCTTATTTTGGCAAAAGTCTCAACAGTTCTCTTGTTCCCAAATTTGGGTGCTTGATCCAATACTGAGATGACTTTCATAAATACTGCCAATAAGGCTTTTATATAAGACAAATATTCCCAGAGCAGATCAAAAAGGCAATTCCACTAATACAAAGATCTTTCTAGATGCTGTCACTTACTTAAAATGCTCACTTAGTATGTGAAACATTAATTTAGAATTATTGATTTTATGAATTCAACTATAAGAGTATGTAGGTAATTGAAACAAATTCTGATT